GGGCGGTGACCCGGCGGGGCCAGGCGGCGCTCTAGGCGGCGGAGGCCGCGCCTCTCTATGGTCGCTCCGCCGCCGCGGTGTCGCCATGGCAACGGCGCGGCCCAGGCTTGGGGCCCGAGGGGCGCCGCTGGGGTTTCCCTCTCAGCACCCTCAAAAAGTAAAAAAAACGGAGCTCCTTCAGCCTCTGCCTCGCGTGTAAAGGGTCATCACAAGTCTGAAAGTTAAACACTGTCTGTCCCATAGGCTGCACAAATAATAAAGGGGTGACACCGACAGTCGAGGTGCTGCAGCGGTGTCAGAGGGAAGTGGCACCAGGCACTGCTGTGAAAAGTTACAACGAAGCAGTATGCAAACGAGAAACCAAAGGAAATGGTGAGGGCACAGAGGCCCGAAGTGATTTTGCACAGGCTGCAGGAGTAGGGTTTCCATAGGGTCTTCCCTTGGGGGAACATGCAGCTCTATGCGATGGCTTGGTAACTTGTGAAGTGCCCCCAAATAACACAAAGGTGTGTGCCACAGGAAGAACATCAGATGAAGCTGGGGCATTTGTTGATGATGAAGATGAGGATGAAGGTGATCAATTTCAGGGAGCTGAACAGCCTTTACTGTCAAAAAAGTGACTTTCAGTGCTTTAGATACCCTTCAGAGATTTCCCAGAAGCCAAGACACAAATGATTCTTCTCACTATTCCCTAGCTGACCTGGAGAATTATATTCAGAATATAACATGTAAATAAATATTTTTAGCAAACTGTGAAGGCGTGTAAATGAAAAAGGGAGTTATAAAAGTAAACAAAACTATGGCAGCTCAATAACAAGCGCTGCAGCAATCTTTTCTCGTGTGTCTTGCTCAGGTGCATAAACGTGTATAGCAAAAGAAATTTGAAATGATGACAAAGGGCTGCAAGATGAGTGTTCCACAACACTAGGAGGAAAAACCATAAACTTTGGGACAAAGAGAAGAAATAACTTGAACATTTAATATGGTAACTGTAGTAGGTACTGTAGTAGGAGGCAGAACCAATTCTTTAAGATCCTTGCTGCACTGACCAACCTGGTACCCACCTGGAATACTTTCTTCAGGAAGAGATTAGTGCTACTTCACCTCAGTGCTTTCACTATTTTTTTAATGATCTTTTTTTTTTTTTTTTCAATGATATTTTCTTGTCCTTGTTCAAGTTCTAACCACAGTTTATTCTTAGGTGATGAACAGCAGAAAGCAGCTTTCATTTTCTTAAAGCTGCTCACGTGGAGATAAGCACAAGTGGCATAAGCATTTATCAAATAGTCAAAAGACAAATAAACCTTTACTTGTTCTTTGAAGGGATCAAAAAAGGAAGGTCATGCTTCTCCCTCCCAGCCGTTTTGATATTTGGATTTGGTCTAGGCCCTGCTGTACAATTCTGTGTGTCGCTACAGTTAATAAAGGGGACACAATCAGCTTATGCAGTATCTGCACTCCAAAACGTATTAAACTGTTGCTATATTTACTATGCTTGGTAATAAAACAAAGTGCCTCAGTTTGTCTTCATCGTCGTGCAGTCCTATATAGGCTTTGCTGTGGGCTTCCATGCACCAATGCAGTTTACTGTTACAGGTACCACTAATTATGGTTCTGTTGGCATTAATGCATTTTGAAGTAAACCACAGTATAGTTACACCTCTTCCAGTATGCATTTCAAGCAATGTAATCATACCATAGTCAAAAATCTCAATTTATATGAGACATGGTGTCCTTTAGGAAACCTGTACAATTTATTATGGTGCTTAAAATTAAACCGTAAGAAACAATTGCTTGTTTATTTAAAACTTAAATTTTCAATAAATATTTTGGCAAAGCTTTGCTTACTTTTCTGGTAGAGGATGGTATCAAATTGTAAAACCATTTTGGAAAACTCTGTATCCAAATATGACAGTGAAAATATGTTTTTGTTTGTAGGCCTGGAGAACAAGTCCTACGAGGAGCGGCTGAGGGAGCTGGGCTTGTTCAGCGTGGAGAAGAGGAGGCTCAGGGGCGACCTTATTGCTCTCTACAGGTACCTCAAAGGAGGCTATAGCGAGGTGGGGGTTGGCCTGTTCTCCCACGTGCCTGGTGACAGGACGAGGGGGAATGGGCTTAAGTTGCACCAGGGGAGTTTTAGGTTGGATGTTAGGAAGAACTTCTTTACTGAAAGGGTTGTTAGGCACTGGAACAGGCTGCCCAGGGAAGTGGTGGAGTCACCATCCCTGGAGCTCTTTAAAAGACATTTAGATGTAGAGCTTAGGGATATGGTTTAGTGGAGGACTTGTTAGTGTTAGGTCAGAGGTTGGACTCGATGATCTTGAGGTCTCTTCCAACCTAGAAATTCTGTGATTCTGTGATTTTTTTGGGGGGGCTCTTTTTGTGGGAAGGTGAGAAAATTCCTATTGCTAAACTCTATGAATGTTTTACTAGAATACCTAAAAAAAAAAAGAAAAAAAAAAAGAAAAAAAAAGTGTTAGTGTTTTCTTGAAGTGTTTTCTTGTTATTAAAAATCTGATGTGAATTTCGCCCAAAGGACATGCTGATGAAATAAGAAAATTCTTTCAAAATTTCCAATAAAGTCCTACACAGAGATTTACAGATTCCGTGAAAGAGGCATCTACCTGCATTCTCTTCTATTTATTTTAAAAAATTTAAAATATGGATGCAAAATATTTTAAATTCAGAAGCTGTGTCAAATAAATCAATAAATGTTGCTTGCTTAAATACGTTTGAACAAGCTTATGAAAAGCACTTTCTATTTTGGCTAAGCTTATTTTAAATTAATGTAAATCCCACTGACCCCTATAGATAATTTTTCTACCGTAATCTTATTATTTAAATTTCATGGTTTTCTATGCAACAATTTCTCTTGCTAAAGGCAAGTTTAGGGAGAATTTTCTACCTGCCATACAGTAAATCTGTATATTCTTTAAGATTCACATCTATGCAGACCTCATGGGCCCTGGATGCAGATAAGGAGGCTCTCTGTTTCCTTCTAAGAGAATTCAGAGCGTGAGGTGTTGACCTGCATGAGAAAGACTGGTGGGAGTCAGCAGCAAATCTTGGTTAGACACAGGTTCGATCTACAAGAACTGCAGTCTTTGCAAGGTGAGGATCAGGAGACGTGAAATACCGTCATTAGCTGACAACGAAGGAAGTTAATCACTGAGTGCTATACACTCTTGAAAACAACAGGAAGAAATTAGTAATATGGTCTGAACTTTGAAGGTAAATTTTAGAGCTTGCATTAAAAAATGGCTAATCCATGAATATCTCAAATCGTCAAGAGAGCATATGATTTTTTTCTAGACTCCTTTTTCACTCTGAGAAGGCAAGCTAAAATGCAGACAATAAAATTATTTCTTTAGGTCAGCTGCTTTTTATTCTGACGGTGCAGCTTTCAAAATTATTTAGGAGACCAAATATTCCTTTTCACTTGGGTTGTGATCACATTTATTGCTGAACAGAGAACGCAAAGCTGGTTTGAAGCTCGTTGGTATTTCAGGTATTTGTTCACAGGGGAAACACAGACTCCTTGCATCCTAAATGCTCACAGTGAAAAAGGGAAGTGGTAAGCTATGCAAATCTTTGTAATTTTAGCCTGTGCACACAGTCTGAGCTAGAGGTTTTTTTACATTGTCTAGGTAAACCTTCACAGCTTTTTATGGCTGTGGTGGTATTTATTAGAGGGGAAGGAAGAACATTGCTTTAGACTGCACCATGTTTAAAAATAAGAACCGTTTTTACAAAAGACAGGTTACTAAGGTAGCCATTTTCTTTACGACCTCAGAAGTTATTTTGGACAACTATGGGCTTTTTCCTCTGTGCTTTTCTACTTTTTGCTTAGTTAGATAATAGTGATGTGCTTAGACGTCAAGTCGGTGAGGTTGCTTGCAGTAACCCAAAGCTGCTTCTTGCAGTATGAACAGAAAATATGAAGTCTTAAGAGTATTAACAACTTCCAAACAAGGCCAATATAGATAAGGGAGGGGGGAGGGGGAGAAAGAGGAAAAAAGGATGTTTGATAAAATCAAAAGCTTCCTCAGGGTCATTCTTGTAATGTGCAAAATTAGGTATGTTTTTGAAACTGTTAATAAATATTTCACTATTTCTGATTTTTGTATGTGTATTTGCTGTTGTGTGTGGTTCTGGACACTTTACAGATCTCTAAAACTTTACCTTCTTTTAAAATTGTTTCTCAAAAGAACATTAGTCATCCCTCATGGTAAAAGGAAATTACTTTAACAACACAGGCAAAAACTGAAGAGGGGGGAAGTGAGTGATTTATAAGAGAGTAATCCACGTGTATAACCAAGATCAGTGATTTTGCTAGATAAGCAATCTGAAAGAATATATAAATAGGTGTTTTTTCATTATTTATTATGCAAATCTAGGGGATGATTTCTCAATCATGCAGAGTCTTTAGTTATTTCAGATTTTTAAATTGCCGTATGGCTTTGTTAGCTAGTATGCTTACAGTGGAAAATACCAATCATATATGCAGGCATTAATTTCAGATGATTTTCCTTTGTTCTCTCTAACAACCTGGGAAGTATGTTGGCTCAGGGAGCCAGCCAATATTTTAATGAACAGTAGGTAGCAAGTTAGTCAAATTTAACTATAATATTTTCACAGATGTAAACTAAATTGCTACATTAAAATATTAGTAAAATACCTTCAAGATTTCTTAGTGGTTGTGTTCAGTGAAATGGAAGAATAAATATCAGCCTACTCAACAATTAAATAAAATGTGTGGTGGTTGGGCAACCATGGCATACAATAACAGTGTTTCATATTGTTTTCTTCTTTTAATATCAATAAAAGCTGTTGCTTACAGCTTTTAGGAAGCAATCATTAAAGAAGGACTTTGAAAAGTTCTCATGGGGAACAGCATGATGCTGCTGTCAGAGAAGAGTTTTTATATTTAAACAAGGAAGTCAATATTTGCATCTAGATGCCTTAATATGCCTATATTGCAATTTCCTTTCTTGAAAATCAGAACCCAAATCAGTCAATTCATAAGCAAACAAATCTCTTCTAATTGAAATGCTTGCCATGCGAGGAGTGACAGCCTTCTTTTTATTGATACCTCCAGAAACAATAGAAAAAATCATTGCACCAGACGAGAAGAGAACAGCTCAGTGTCTGACAGCGTGGTTTTGGACGCTGCTTTTGTCCAGTTGCAGCAGTGCTGTGCAGAGATGTGGTTCCCTCATACTGATACACTTCCACCGAGGTAAAGTTACATTGCTTTTGTACAAGGTTATAATTCTCATGCAGCTCGTTGCCTTTCTTGCTACTCCAGTTCCTCCTCTGGAGATGTGTTTTCTCTCTTACAACTGCAGCTGTCAAACTGTGTTGGTTGAGCTAAAGCCACACAGCCTTTGGGTTCAGGCGGGGTGGTGAAACAAGCAGTGCCTTGCTAGCTTTTTCGTAACGCTGTCAACTTTGCTCCCTGAGTGTAATGAAAGAGCGCAAATTACAAATTGCTCTGGTCAGCCAAGTGAAAGAATACCACTCAGACTGGTTCAGTGAGAAGATGCCCCATTTCCAACAGTTTTTAAAATGCCTTACTGTATTTTACAATATTTCAGCTGAAAGCCACCTCTTCCTAGGCTTTCACACCACCGCACTTCCCACTCAACTGCTCTGCCTTGTGCCTGAAGGACGCTAAGGGGAAACATCGCCTCAGAGCACATTTCTAACGTTGTCTCTTGTGGTGATATTTCTGAAACAGCTCAAGTATCAGGAGGTATCACCCTCTCGGTACATGCGCTCATGATCTCAGGCCCTAAGTTCTTCATTGCTGTACTTAGTGGTCTTCCCAAATCCTTGCTTCATTTAGACCAGAACATCCACTACGTCTGTATTTATTTTTACCTCTTCATTCACCGATTTTGCCCATCTATAATTTCCTTTCTAACTTCGTTAAATGGTTTAAAATAGGTCTAAGTTAATCCAGTCAAAAATTCTGTGAATTAGATAAATTTACCTTCATTTTACAGACCAAGTAATAGAGGCCATGATATTCCCAGAAGTCTCCCAGGACATCTGAGAGAATTGATAATAAAACATGTGATCTTTCTCCCTTTTCACGTGTCTCCATTTTTGTCCTTCTATTAGTGTTCCCTTCTGATCTATGCTTTTCAGATTCTCAATTTGACATTTAATAATCTTCATCTAAACCCTTCCCTTTTCTCTTTCATCTCTAACCCTTATAGACTTGTATAACACTCTTGCCATCATTCACTTTTATATTTCCATTTCTAAATATCACCCCTCTAACCTCAGTTCTTTGGACCTTTCTCCCCTTCTCTTTTATTGGCCTCATCTATGGTTAACACTATATTTAAAACCCCCTTTTCCTCCTTTCAGTGATTTGGTGTCCATTTCTTTTCTCTAAAAACAATATTTAATTCTCTATGGAGACAATCAGTCATTGACTTTCTATTTTACTTGGTGTGTCTTCATGATACTTAGATCAAAGGTTATGCATTAATCGGAAGTACGTTATTTTCCCAAAATTTACTTTTTTTTTTCTTTTTTTTTTTTTTTTTTTGCATTTCGTTTTCTCACATTCTTAGTGTGGGAGAACTATGTGTGTGGGAGAACACACATGCCTAGTGTATTCCTAACACACTTTCAAGTCTTCCCTTTGTTTAAGCCTATTTTTATTTCTTGTGCTCCAAATCATCAGCATGAATATGATTCATTTGTTACACTTGTAAGTTAAGCCCATGAACAAAACCTGCATAAAGAATGAGTTTGTGACTATTTGTTTACATAGTTTGCAGTGTTACAATTCTGGAAAAAAAAAAAAAAAAAAAACAGGTTGAAAGACAGCTCAGACATTGGCTAGTTTCTGTCAAGGTTTTTAACTGAATTTGTATCTTTTGTTTTTCTTTACTCTTCCTTTTTTTCTATTCCAATACTCGCTTGTGAGTTTCCAGATACTTGTGCCCTGTTTGGCTTCGTAATCAGCCCACGTGGCCTGCAAATCTAGAAGGAAAGCAGGTAGATCACAAAAAGAAGGAGCCAAAATGAGACGCCTTGGTCCACTAAGATTCCCCTGCAGGGAATCAAAGACAACTTATAACTCCAGCTGAGCAGAACCTTTTATTCAAATTAATATTCAGAGGCCTCTGAAAGTCCACATCCATACACAAATAAGCCACAAAAAAAAAAAAAGATAAAACAGATAAAACCATGGGAAGTCTGGATTTAGGATGGCAAGAAATGGCCACCCATGCCTCAGGTCCACCTCAAAATTAACTGACACAAGGTTTTTTCCCAGAGCTAATGAGACAAGGTCTGTGTAAACCGTATGTCACAGCACTGCCCAGGGCTCATCTATGTTCAGTAAGCAAATAGAAATTTGCCTAGACACAAAGCAAGTGAAGCAGGATTTCTGTGTAAGAGTAGGATTTCTGTGTAGCCTGGAAGTCAGATGGGCTTGGAAATTGGCATGGCACTTCAGCAGTTACTGAGAGGCTCTTTGTAGTACAGATTTGAGGTATACTAGGTAAGGAGATACTTACCAAGTGCTGTTCCCAACAACTGGACTGTTTCTGAAAAGCTGGCTTGATGGGTATCAATTTTACAGCTCTCAGAAAAAGGGGTAGAGCATTACATGTAGGCTGGCCACATGGCACAGACAGAAATGACAGAGCTGGGCAGTGCTGGCCATCTGGGCGATACTCCCTTGCCAGTTTGGCCGCGTGGTGCTTCCCAGCCTTGTGGCAAGTAGAAGCGGGCAGCGGAGACCTGACACAGCAGATCTGCAGAAGGCAGAGCTGACACAAGGGGATGAGGAGGGTTGTGTTTTCCGTGCCACCTCCTCACTTGGCCGTTCCTCAACCCCGGTGGAGTTAGGAGCGTTACCACAAGGGGCTGAAACCCCAAGGCCTAAAGCGACTTGGCTGCCCTGCTTCCAGCACTGCTGGGCAAGCTGACTGCTCGGGTGGTCAGAAACCAGCTTGTAGTTGTGTCTTAATGCACATGGTTAAATCGCAACCAAGGGGCTTCAGGGAAGTGACAGAATTCAGTCATCACCCAGCAGTTCCTACACCATGATCTGCACCCAGCTGTGACTCACACACACAGCTCCAAACCTGCTTTCCTAATTAAATGCCGGCATTCCCAGCATTGATCTCTCCAGTGCTAATACTGGGGTGACAGATATCATCTTGGGCAATGAGATTATATGAAATTTAAATGAATGTAAGCTTCCTAAGGGATTATTCAGAACAGGGATTAGGGAGCTTTATGAGTTTAAAACTTCCTTAGGACCTCTTCATCCTCTCACCTCATCTCAGTGGCTTGCAGTGGTGCAGTCATCGCAGGAGGCGGCATGATCATTTCGATCTGCCTTCTCTGTGGGGAGCTCTGCTCGTGTCTGCCTGTGTATGAGCCTGCAAGTGTCGGAGGCGATGGCACACGGTGTGGAAAGCAGCCACACGCCCCAGCCAGAGGGAGGTGCAGACGCTGCGCTGCCTCCCAGCTGGGCTGAGCCAGCCTCTCGCTCAGATGCTGACTCCTCAGGCAAGGCACATATTTCTGAGATTATATCTTCAAAAAGCAGAAGTGCATGTACCGGTTTGCTTTTAAGCATTCATCCTGTGCTTTCTTTCCTGCGTCTGTCGTTCCAGCTCCTCTGAGGCGAAAAATTCCGCCTCAGCTGCCTGCCCGATCAGAGCAGTGCCCCAGCTCGGAAACCTGAGGTAGCTCTGTGCCATCCACCCTAATGATTTACAGGCTTTAAATACACCTCCTCTATTTGGCATGATTTTTATTTTTTATTTTTTTGTGAGTGCCAAATATTCTCCAAATTTGAGCTGTATACCTCAAATGAACTCTGCACTCCTCTTGCTACATGGATATAAAGTTAAAAGGACTGATGCCAAGTGGAGATCTTCAAGATCTTCCTGTCCTGTCCTTCACCGGTTCGCAGGCTCTCAGCTTCTCTGAGACACAGGCTACGTGTGGATTGACTTATGTAGACGTGGTAGGAGAAATGAAGCTGCACAATTAAGCACCCTGAAAATAGATTAACAGAGGAATTACATGTTCGCTTCCAGGAAGACTTTATTTCCTATATGATCATATCTATAATTCTTTCCACCATGGTTTCCATTAACAGGCATTAGCATTGACCTCTTGATGCCTCTGCCTGTGTCTGGATGAATGCCCCTTCCTGCAGAATTATAACCCTGCTTCCCTCATGTGCAGGGTGCACGTAAGTATAACAATTGCAGTTCTGACAGTACATCAATCTTCAGAGAAATGCACACAGGCAATGGATTTGAGCAACCTGGTCTGCTGGGAGGTGTCCCTGCAGATACCAGGGGGTTGGAACTGGGTAGTCTTTAAGGTCCCTTCCAACCCAAACCATTCTGTCACCCTGTGAAAATGAGACCCAGGAAATTCCCCCTTCACACCACACTTGGTGCCCCTATGCTTTGCCAGGGAGGTGTGGTTACAGCAGGGATGGGGACACATGTCCAAAAGAGGAGCAATAGGAAGGAAGGGTGCACGTACACATCACAGCTAACCCAGCGCTTCGCAAGGGATTTCTCCCCATAGCGACCTCAAGCAGGAGGAAGTGAACATAAGCAGCTGCTTGTAGTTTGGTAAACTCAGTGCTTTTTATACATTTTATTACAGTCTCCAAAAAGGACATTTGGGAAGCTCAGCACTTGCACATCATCATCAAATTGTAAGGTTTTGCTCAGTGGCAGCTATATAAAAAGTTGCATATGAAACTGTTCTGTATCGTCAGACAAAATGAAGTGAATGAACTACATAAACTTACTTTAAGAATGTAATAAACAGACAGAGTTTCTCAAAGAAAACTAAAAAAGGTGTTTCTCAAAGAGAAAGAAACAAAAACAAAGATAAAGTAACAGAGAAGACAAAAGGCAAATTTTTTTTTTTTCAGATAGTCTTGCAGTGCTACAGTCAATTATATTGATCCACAAGATAGGTTTAAACACAGGGTGCTGAGAAGTGGTACTTTCTGCCATAACTGCACATCCCTCCCTGGATCGTGACTGATAGCATTTTGGAAGAGTAGCACAAAAATTTTATCACCTGCATGAAAACCTGCTCAGCATTTAAATATAACATGTGCAGGGACAGGACCTTGTTTTCAGAGAGATTGTGGGCAAGCTCCTGTTTGCATTGCCTATTAAAAATGAGGGTCCAAGAACAGGTTTCAGAGTGGCTTCTGAATGATTT